GGGCCTTCATCCACCGTGGAGGAGAGCCCCACGACGATCATAGAGGATGTCGTTCCGACAATTAATGAGGATCCCATTGTGACACAGGTTTATGTTATTTATTTCTTTTAAAATATTTACATTAGATATTAATGATTTGATTTTATATAAGAAATGTAGTAGTAAAGACATACTTTGACATTATCAGCTTTAGGATAAATGTATCAATGCTTGGAGCAGTTAGAGATAATATTTCTATCAGTTGGGTTTAATTTTGCATTTCTCAGTTCTTTTGGTTGTCTTGATGTTTGTATTTGTTCAAAATTTTAACCAATCACTCCAAATTGCATGCCTTGGTGGAAACAGGTTATGCTAAATGTAAAGAAACTTAGGTTGGTTTAGCATTTTGTCTTAATAATGAAATCTTGGTTCTGATTCTATGATCCAAAATAAAGAATGGAGCATACGAATATATAGAGTTGGTGTGCTTGGATTTATTGTTGTATTGTTGGATCCCTTTAAAGATGGATTTCTTTATTTTTGTCAATTAATTTTCAACTTCTACAATCTAACTTTCTATTTGCAGACCACTTTGTCACCATTCTTGTCTCCAGATGTTACTTTCATTATGTCAGTGGATGATATGCCTCAAACACCCGGAAGAAAAAGTTGTTAAAAGAATTGTAAAGAATGTGAACATAAAGGATCTTCCGGCCAAAAAGAGAAAGAGGGACAATGAAGATGAGGATGGTTATACGGGACTTAGACCGCGAGATGTTCTACGGATTTCAAGAAAGGTTGTGAACATAATTATTATTTATTTTTTGTGTATTTATTCTTTTTTTGAGGGTGTATAGTATTATTATTTTAATTATATATAGTTATTATTTTGTGTATGTATTTTTTTTTTAAAAGTGAATGAAAAAAATTGAAAATATAAACATGACTAGAGAATGATACAAAAATACGAATAAAAAGTTGCATAGAAATTGATACAAGAAAGTTAAACATCGTTCTTAAATTAACAAAGTTAAACATCGTTCTTTAGCTACTACCACCATATGAGGCGTTTCGAGCTCGTGAAGGACAGTTGCGCCTATCATGGCCTATTTGTTTGCACATTGAGCACTTGAGAGTGAGTGTACTTGCGGGAACATCCATTTCATTATGTATACGGGTGATTTTATTTACGCCCACTTTTCGTAAATATTTTTTATTTGCTATCATAAGAAAAGGGCTATCAAGCCAATACTTTTCATCGCCGAGTGGATTGAATTGTCCAGAGTAAGCTTTTTTGTAGCTACGCACGAAGAATTCTGGTGCCATATGCTCCCATGCTTGATACCCAATTTGATCAAATCCCTTTATTGCATGAGAACACGGAATTTGGTATGATTGCCATTTACCACATTGACATTTTCCTTGTGATGCATTTACAATGTGCTTATTACCACCACGGCCATGATGCATATGTGTCTGGACCTCAAATATGTTTTCCCTTTGTTGGTGATAGTTGATAAGTGTGTGACGCTGTGACTTTTTTCGATTATCCTCAAAAATCTTGAATGGTTTAGGCATCCATTGTTGCTTTTGTTGTACTAGCTGATTGACAAATTTTGATCTTGTAACAAATCGGTTCACAATCTGATTGTAAGTGAGTCTTACCATTGCAGTAACTGGAAGGCCCTTGGCTAACTTAAGAAGACCATTGAATGACTCAAAACTATTTGTTGTCAGCATTCCCCATCTCCTACCTCCATCCCTGTGCAATGTCCATTTGTCAAGATCGTTCTTCATTAACCAC